GTACTTAAACCTGTAAAAATATTACTAGAGTTGTGACTACAAAATTACCTGGCTAATGTCATTCTGCATAGCTTTAAAAAGTCGTTGCACGGCATAAGCTTGAAGTTCACTGGACGTTGACACCAGGTGAATCAGGCTTGGAACTGCATCATCACGTACATAATTTCCAGCCTTAATTTGAAAACTCATAATCAGTCGATTTTACAAATGTTAAGTACACTTTAGATGACAATCTATCGAGAGTGATATTGTTGTCTTTATTATTGCTCAGGGAAGCAAAAACCATTGTTAATAGCCCTCATATTGCAGAATGTAATAATCATTCATTATCCTCAGTTAAATCTTAAGTAGTGTTCAACATAGATAATCATTGGGCATGTTTACACACAATGGCAGTACAATCACATTACCACATTATTAACATGAGTATGTTCACTTTGCAGGTTTTTTTCTCCACTCTTTTTTAATTTAGCTAACTACAGAGCACGATGAACCAAGCCAGCACATAATGTAACAAAGTATACTCACAGTTGTAAGAACTTTCATCATTGTGTCAATATGCCACCTTTTATTTGGAGAATGCCTGAAGCAAAAGCAAATTTAAACATGATGAATATCTCATTCCTGAACATGAAAAACAATTAGCCTAAAATTTTCAAATTGGTCATTATCTTGCTATTTGTCTTGCTGTCTTCCAATCAGTAAAGTGAAGCACAACTCTAAGAAACACTACAGCAGTGGAGAAGTGAAAAAAAGAATGGAAACCTCCCTTGCTTTTTCACTTCTCCACTTCTATCTGGCCATTTGCTATTTTGCCCCATTTAAAACTTGAATGCCTGGAACAAGTTCAATTTCTCTTAACTGTCACCATTCTTGTACAGTGCCTGTAACATTTATTAACATATGTACCAATGGTTACAAAAGATGCTGCCTAGCAGGTACATCTACATAAATATGTTGTTATGTCCTGGCTATCCATTTGTGGCCTTTACACAGACATCATGGTACAATATTTTTTAATGAAACCACTTTGTATACCATTTTGCTGTTATTTCTTTTAACTTTCCACAACAACACAATATGGTAACCATCATGTTGGAAGCAGTTTTGAAAGCTGGACAAATGGCTAGCATTATCATTACAGTGTATCTACACCATTCAAAGAAAAATTTAAATGTCAAAAACAATGTTTCTCCTTTTGATGGGTGGAGTAAACAAAACTCTTACTTTTCAGCTGCCAAGAAGATATTTGAGGTGACATAAGACTTAAACTCCACATCAGCTTTGACCAGGAAGGTCAAGAGTTCTTTCACCATGCCACGAATGTTACTTGAGTTTATGAGAGCAAAGGACAACTCCATTGCTCGCCTAAAAACAAGAGGGAAAAAATTATCAAAATGAACTTAATTCATTACTTGTGTAACCCTTTACAACCGAACATTAGTTGGCATATTCCCCATGCTGTTCGCTATACTTTCCTATGGTGCTGGCAAGGAGAATTTGTTCAACCATCAAGAGCTTTTTCAGTTGGTGATTATTTCCTATACTTTCATGACCTTAATGTTTGATTCAGGGGTGATATTGCTGGGAGAAATTAGATGCTTGTCATTTTTAGGGGTAAAAGAGCTAACTTTTACAACAACCAAAAAAACAGATACTATTTGTACTAATTAAGACAGCACTTACATCACTTCAAAAGAACCATCTTAAAGTAAAGAAAAAAGGCACAAAAACTTTTGCAAACATCTGTACCTGAGTGTGACTATTTATTCATCTAGAGACTAAGTGTTAAAACACTTTGAATAAGAACATTTTTTACCTAAGGTAGTTACTTATATCAATAAGAGGTGAGTTAAAAAAATTAGGTGCTTACCTTCTGATGGAAATATCAGGATCCTTCAAACAGTCTAGGATTGTGGTCCGGTGTCTCTGGACAGCATTGTAGTCTGCAGTTACTGTCTTTAAGAGTGTGTTCAGTGCAACATATCTGCAATACAATCACCGTCAAAAAGTCAACAATAATAGTTCTAACACTGGAACAAATAATTTCCTACTCCAAGCAAGTAAAAAAATATGGTAAGAAAAAACATTACTTTCAGTTTCCTAAAAGGTGCCTAAGCAAATTTTTCTTGACTACATTACCAAAATACAAAGTCAAGTAGTTTTGAGAATCAATTTATTCCTGTATGTTAAATTCAAAAGTTCCCTGACAGCATTTTTGTGACAACTTTATAAATGCATACAGCAAAGCATATATTCAACTTAAATTGGAAGTTTTGAATTATGTGAAAAAAAAAAATTGTGATAAACATCTACCAAATATAAATAAAAAATAAAAAATATGACTGATATTATAGATGGTCATCAATTGTACAGCAGTCAAGTGAAAACTGTTTCCTTAACCACTTCTATGCACAGAAAGCATGTTGGTGGCCCACGTGTAAAGGATGTATAAAAAATTTAATAGAGTACAAACACAGCACTATGTAGCTGAGTTGAATCATTTTTAACCCAAAACAAAAACTTTCAAAGTCAACCTCACCTTATATTTTTGTCATTGTTTAAAAGAAAGCGTCCTAAAATATTGATTGCTAAAACCTACAAAAAAAGATATAAACTGCAATTAAAGATTGGTAAATCTTTAGTAATTTTTACAAGGGCAACCTAGACTGTAAAATTACCACCACCAAAACAATGAACCACCAAAGACACTGCCAGCCCTTTCCACCTTAACATCAGTATGCATATTCTCCATACTGTTCTTCTTACATTTCCTACGGTGCTGATGGGGAGAATTTGTTTGGAAAAACTACAGCTTCTTTAGCTGGTGATCATTTCCTTCTCTCTCTTGACCTTAATGTTTAATTCAGGGGTGATATTGTAAATAGATATTAGATACTAGTCACTCTAGGGGGCTGAAAGATTACACTGAACAATTAAATTTTGCAAGGTACTTTATATTTATTCATTTATTTATTTTCATTTTTTGATTTTGTACATGCAAGAAGCAGAGTGAAAAGGTTTATGAGCAGCAGTTATATCTATCATGAAATTTTTCTTTTTGGCAAACAAAAAAAAAAAGGGAAAACAGCAAAAAAAACCATCAGAAAAAATGATACAAGAAACCGTACCCTGAGTCCACTCTCTGACTTTGTATCCATTATGGTCAGAACTGTTTCATACAAGATGGCATTGCCAACATTTTTACTGGTTTCAGTGTTTGTTGCAACCTGTAAGGGGAAAAAAAAAAAAAGGAAAATCAACACATCTAAAATCACACAATTCCTGGGAATAGGTATCCACAGAAAAAATGTTCCCATCAACTTTGTGTTGCTGTAGTTAATGATAAACCATCTAATGCACATACATTGTGTATAATGATACAACAGCGACATCCAAAGGGTGTAGAAGGTCGTTCATGGAAGATCGCAACATGAAAAAGGCACTGTTTGATTACCAGCACTTGCACTGTAATTTGCATTGATGATACTGTTGTTGTAATGTTCACAAATGTACACAATTATGTTATTTGGCCATTACACTTTCACTCCCAAGATCTCTTTGGTAATTCTACATACTGCCTTCCCTACATTGCTCATATTTTTTGTTCTGAGAATTTTTTTATCCGTTAAAATTATAACCCATTTAATTTCTATCTTTCTTGATTCTCATCGCTAGTCTGCTTGACATTGTACTGATATTGTAAAGAGAAATTCTGTTTTGGTTACTGCTGGAAGTAAAAGGGTTGACACACTGTTTAACAAATTGCACATAAATACTGGTAACTCCATGTACACACCTGAGCCAGCACATCATTCATCTGTTCGCTGACTGACTCTTCATCTTTACCAAGCATTCTCAAAAGTCGCAGAAGTTTTACCTGCAAAAAGACAAAATGAAACATCACCACAAAAATTGGTTGTGGTCCACACTCAGCAGGATAATTACTTGTACTGTAAGTGCCCAGAAGGAGACAATTACACATACTGTAAGTGCCCATAAATTTACCCTTATAAAAAGCAAGACCACAAATCAATCAGTAATCCTACCTGCATGAATGGATCGCTTATTCCAGAAACATCGTGCTCAGGGGAATATCCTGACATAACAAGATTCTTTAGTGTCTTCACCAAAATGGGAACATGCTGTAATCAAACAAAAATACAACTTATAATTATTTACAGTTACATAAACTAAAAGAGCAATTTTGTAAAACTGCACAACTAATTGCAACTGTAATACTCAGACAACTACTATACATGACTGTATGAAAACCACCAGCATATGTATAATATGCTGAATTATGCCATGACATCACAGAATTATCAAACAGATATCTTGTTTCCATGGGTCTGTTCAGTAACAGATCACAGATGACATAAAACTGTGATAAGAACTTCAGTGACACACCTGGTTGTGGCTTGTGTGCCCCTCTTTTTGTTCTCACCACATTTTGAGACCATCTGTGATCTATTACTGAATAGATGCATGGCAACATGGAATTTATCATTTAATTCTCTGATGTTGTTGAGTCAGGAAAAAGAATACAAGGCCAATCAGAAATAACATGACTTATCATAAAAAGCTGTAGGTTGATTAGTTTGTGGTTTCATTGTTTGCCTGCATGTACTAACCTGCAAAGCCATAACACAATTATCATTCCAAAGACATTCTAAACTTACCCTTCGGAAGTGAGATAGTGTCTCAGGGTTCACCCGACACATCTCAGTAACCAGTGCAATTCCACACACTGCAACTCCTGGTCAAACAAGCCAAAAGCAGAATGTAAAACTTAAGTTAAAACATTTTTCCTCAATTCTTAACCATTTAAAACACACTTCATTGTCAAGGCCACCCATCAATGTTAAACACTATGTTATGGTAAGTGAAGCAACACGCCACAGTTGCTCAGCAAGCAGAATTCAACCCAGCCACCTGCTCGGTTCAGCCCACCAATGACATTTTTAAATGACAACCCTATTTATACTGCATCAATACTTGGATTCAAGTCTGGAACACATATGACTTTCAGTTTGTAACCACTCCTAGCTGTTACCTAGCTTGAATAAAAGACAGGCATTCAGGGTGTAGAGTGCCACACCTATAGCTGGGAAATCCCTATAACCCTACCATGAAGCCCCATTCCCAGCACCCATCAACACTGAGTAAATCAGTAGAAGGAACAGAAGATGGAGGATGGGATGGGCAAATGCCTCAAGGAAACTGCCAGAAAATGGCTCTGGACTGTTGAGGAATGGCTGCCAACAAGCTTCTAGAGAACTCAAAAGGTGCCAGCCATGAACTAAAGTATTTTTGGTACTAACCATGATTTCTTTCATTCAAAAGAGATCTTGTTGTGGGGACAAACACTTCCATGAGTTCTGGAACTTTTCGAACTATTCTTACTGCACAAAGTGCTGCCTGAAAAACCACAACAACCCATTACATTAGAACCTGGAGACTGAAAAATCTTTCTCCCTAATACCAGTACCAATACATGCAAAATGTTCATGTAAGTTAAGTGTGAAGCTTAAACCATAAATTACATTTCTGCCATTATATAACAAATTTGAGCACCATAATGCCAACCAAATTTCAGCTGTGTACGAAAATAACATTTAACTCACTTTTTTCCTCAGGTAAGAGTTTGTTGACTTGAGCAACTTTTCCACTTCACCAGCTAGATCTCGACTCATTTCTTGAGAACAAATACTGTAATGCAGAGACGATTATTAAAACTCTGTTAGAATCAAACAACTGCAGAGTTTACTATATTAGTATTAAGGGAGAGTCACCTATCCATGCAGTTAAAAAACCAGAAGTAAACGAAAAGACCTCTAAATCACCAAAATATTTTCCAGTATGCCAGAAGAAAATATGAAGGAAACACAAGGTATTGAACTTACTTTCCTAAAGAACAAAGTGCCAGGCCAACAACAAACTGGTTCTGATGATTCAAATCACTGAAATACATCAAAAGTATAGTATAATATCAGCCACAATTCTCCAAATAAACTTACACTTTTTGTCCCATAATTTAGTTTTTGTCATTTTTTACTCACTTTTTAAGAGAGTTTGTCACCAGCAAGTGGACATCTTGCCGTTCATCAAGTAACAACATGGCTCCCAGATATCCTATCCTTTTGTCTGTAAACTTGGGTGAGGCAATAAGTTTTAAACATTCCAGCTGTGAAAGAAAATGGGTAGCATGTTCCATACCAATTTCCATACTTCAAAACTCAATATAAAATAATAAACATGACTAAGTGTGGGCTGGCTTGAAAATAACCCCCAATTCCAAAGTTTATTCCCTGTTAGACCTTCTGCAGAGAGACACAGGGAAATAATATTATGAAAAGAACATGGCTTTTGTAACTTCATTAACAACAAGTACCATACAAAATCATACCATAACCTATTACAAAAACGTCTCCTATACTTCCTTCTCCTTATAAAATGTGATGTAACTCTTGACTATACCTGGCCAAAATGTGCAGGATATCCTAGCATGTGAATATACAGAAGCTTGGCCACATTTCTGCATCTAAAGTCATTATCTTCCTCCCTGAAGGAATCTCTGATGTAAGCGCACTCCTTTGCTATCACTGCTCTTTCGTCAGCAGCTGTCCTTGCGGCCCTTATTGTTCGTATCAGGTCCCTCAGTTTACCAGGAGCCGGCATGGTCAGGCCTTAATTCAGGAGCTACTGTGAACAAATAAACAATTAGTTTACTCTCTTGCCTGCAACATGTACGCAGATGTAAAGTAAATGAACACTGCAACAGTGTCAGTTCAACTCTCTAATTATCACTTTAGCTCTTCTGTATTTCTTTAGAATAACTTGAAAGATTTGAAGTGTCACATCAAGATAACATCTTGCTGATAACTTTCTCGAATTGAATCACCCGTCCTCTGGTTTTGGTGTTGATATTGTAATTAAAAGATAATTTTAAATCAGCTCTCAGAGTTAAAAGGATTCGTGGGCAATTAATGAGGGTGTAAATATGACAAGAAAATGGTACGACAACAATTTGTTAAAGATGCAAAATGTCACTCAAAGGAGATTGCAACAAAGGATTTCAACAATGTCTAAGGTTTCTTGTTCTTCCTGCACAAACTTATTTCCTTTTGCTTTGATGACTTCTACATGAACTAAGTATGATCTAATATTTCAACTAAGATCAGCCCATAAAAATGGACTTCAGCTCTAAGTAGTAATCAACATGACAACAATGTTCAATGTGTTATCTAGAAAACAGATGATGAGGGTAGAGCTGGCAGGTGTTATCTTGATATATCAGTAACCAAAACTTGACCGCAGCTATTATTGTAGAAGGGAGAACTGTTTATCAGGCATGAATACTTAATTCAAGTTTCTCATTTATCTGACAAAAAGTGGTTTGGTTTCTTCCAATTAATTAACTTTCTTGATACAGAATGAGAATTTAAGATTTTTTTAACATTACCTTAGAAAAAAGTTAATGAAATCTGTTTAACATGACACTTTGTTGCTAACCAATATACTGGTGACCTCAATTACAATTGGACAAGACAACTGTGATGCTATAAAGAGAATACTATCAAAAGAATACTATCTCGATAAAAATTATCACCTGTAACCCTGACTTTCACTAATTAAGTGATCCTTAAGAGTTCTTTATTGTAACTTTAATATGAAAATCACAAGCATAAGCCATAACAGGAATTTGTGTCAAAGGCATTTGACAGTTAACCCACAGGCCATTAGGCATAGTTTTTGTTGTCAACCCAGGAAATGCACTTGATATTTATGATTGCACAGTACTAAGCAGTCCAACATCTATCTCATTTCCACACTTGTGAGCCAAATTTAAAATCGTAATTGTATTCAATACAATCAGAGATACATATATATTTACAAGCTTGGAGATGGACATTACTCAGGGAAATTTCAAAACAATATTAATATTGCTTCGAGAAATTAAAACTGAAACCACACGTACCGTACTTTTTTCAAAATATCCAGCATAACAAAAGTGAACAATAACAAAACTCAGTATGACACTATCAAAGATTGGCTTGTGGTTGAATTAAAAATTCGCCACCAAAAGTAACACGAACATAAATACACACACTACAAAATCTAATTTAATTTAGAAACGGCCGCAATAATTATTTTAAAAAGAGACAACTTTAAAAGTAGCGAAACGTTAAATGCTTGTTAATGGTTTGTCGACGAAAGTATTCGTGTAATTGCAGCAAGTGGGATCGGCAGAGAAGAGGAAGCTAACAAAATGCACAGTTGAATAAGTTTATGTATATTTGCCCTCCTACAGAACTTAAGTTTGAATTTCAAACATTATGCTTCACCGAGTACAAACAAGGCTTAACTGGTACTAGCCCTCAAATTTCCCTCAGCGCAAAGTAACAAACGGTCTATTGAGGAAAATACTTCATTGAAATTTTTACAATTCTCGTGTCTGATACGGCAAGTTCTAATGAACACTGGGATCGTGTTTCTTGCTCCGTCCTTCCGCCTCCCACACGAAATAGACAACGATGAACGTTAATTGAAAGAAAGGCCACAGAAGGCAGATAACATCTTCTTCGTCTTCACTCACCTGATCAAAGAACTTTGATCAAACTCCGCCTTCACAAGAAGGAAACAAAGTTGTACAGTCGCTCCACGTTCCACGGAGACAGTCCAACAGGGCCGGGGAATAAATGCGCAAGTGCAGTGGGAGGGACTTGGGCTGCAAAGTCCCGGATATTTTAGCAGAAGTTTGGAAAAACAGTCGTTTTCACCAGCGGTTTCTTTTAAATATGTTACGCAAAAAAAAACATGGCGCCTGGAAAAACACATGTGCATTCGAAGCATAAAAACAAACTCCATACAAAAAGAAAAAGTAGTTCTGGGGTCAAAAAGGCTAAGAAGAGCACCCTTTCTAACAAGCAGGTAACATTTCATGTCATTTTTCTAAAGGAGTTGCTAGCATTGGTTAACGGAGATACTAGTATGTTATGGTTTATAGTTGCCGATAAACTGCTAGACGCAAAGCTTGGTGGTGTTTGTGAAAAGCGTTCTAAGCGATTGCCATGCCTCGCAAACTACTTCAAACTTTAATCCTTTTGTTAACACACGCGTGAGAATCGTTCGACTGCAAAGGGGGGAAAGTTGGTGTTTGAGCGGTCTGAAGATAGCTGGTCAGAGACCAGGAAAACTATATCCAGCCACCTTTAATTCTGAGACAGTTTAACTTGACTGAAAAAAACAAGACTGCATGCCAAGGAGTTTAAGTTACTCTAGCTGCTACATATTTCCTTGTGAAGAAACCACCAGAATTTGTTGTTAGATCAAGATGTCAACCCTTAGCTGATAATTGTGAGTATTCTCTTTACCTATTTGCTGGCTGATGTACAGATATTATTGGGAGAGGTTACATATTTATAACTTCTGGGAGTTAAAGGGTTAAGTGTGAAATCCAACTGGTAATGCATATTCATTGGTGCATTGATTATCTTTTATTTTTTTATTGAAAGTTGAAAGAGAAAACATTCCAACAGATTGAAGAAGTTAACAAGAGTTTTACAGCTGTTCATAACATAACATCAATTAAAAGCAGAACTCAAAGGGAATCTGTTTCTACAGAAAGGCTAGCACATGTAAAGGTATGTACACTTTTGTGCACCCTGTGGCCCACAACTGCTGGAAGCTATCTAAATGTTGTATCTTTCAAGGTGTGACAGGAAATATTTTAACCCTCCCCATCAATACAGGTTCTTGATACAACCTCACTTACCCTTCCTCAAGGCCTTCTCTTACCCAAATCTTACACCATAGACCCACATATATGACCACTGCCCAGTATTAACCATGTACACCCCAACATCAGCATCCATATTCTACATAATCTTCTCTAACACTTCCTTTGGTGCTGACAAAGAGAATTTATTTAACCCTTTACACCCTATCATCAGAATGTATATTCTCCATACTGTTCTTGATACACTTCCTAAGGTGCCTACAAGGAAAATTTCCTCAACAATCAAAAGCTTCTTTTGTTGGTGATCATTTCCCTTATTCTCCTTACCTTATCTTGTGTGATTCAGGGATGATATTGTAAAGGGAAATTAGATACAAGTCACTCATGGGGGTTTAAGGGTTAATGATCAAAGCTCCTCAGGTTGATGATGATTGACTTTTTTCTCATGATCTTGATGAATGATTCAGCAGTATTCCTGTAAGGAGAAATTACATGCTGGTCATTCTCAGGGTTTAAAAGGTTAAGTTAGAAAGCTGGTCCATGCTTGCTTACCAACATACTAACTTAGTTAATAGACAACTTACCCCAGTCTCTTGTTCAGACCATGCTCTGTTTGTGCTGTTTTTCAAAATTGCACTTTAATTGATATTGAGTTTACTTTTTGGCACAGATCAGTAAAGAGAAACTTATTGCACCAAATACAAATGTTACACAAGAAGAGCTGTTAAAGACCGTTGAAGACATTGCAAACCTCTAACAATGATCAAGATACTGACAACTCAATCAAAGATTGTTGTAAACATTGCAAACCTCGAAGAATGATCAAGATATTGACAATTCTGAGGGACTTATAGGGTACCTGTTCCTTTATTCAACAAAATAATTTTGGTTGATTACAAAATTATGTCTCACCCTACTCTTGAGGAGGTTTGAGTTTACTTATAAAATTCCTTGATGTAAACTTCAAGGATCCTGTGCAAATTCTTCACATAAAAGCAAAGCGTCTCACAGAGCAAACGAAATGCTATCGAGTCAGCAAACTATTCCCTGTGTTTAGAAGAAACACAAATGACGTATTTGCTTTCAAGCAAAAATCTTTTTCCGGGCTGGTCTACACTTTAGTCATCCTTATTACCATCACTGTAATCATGACAAGAAGATAATTTTTTTTCTCATAATAAAAACATCTTGTTAATATATGAACGGCGTGGCTTTCAGTCTTAATCAATTTCATCTTGTGCAGCATTCTGTCAGTGGCGTATCGATGAAAAGTGCGTATATTCTTCTTTCGGCGAAGTACATTTTCAAGGCAAAGGGTAGGGCGTGAACAAAGCGCTTGCGCTGATTTCAAGGTGTTTCTCTGCAACTTGTCGAAGAACGTTTTGGGACCTTCAGTCTTACAAACACAGACTTACAAATAATTGCCCGATTCTTCCTTGTTATAGCGGGTAGCTGTTGTGATTACCACGTTGCGAGATTTACGCCACGTTAGCTTCCATCGTCATGATAGGATTGCGGCCATGAAGATGAATCTCTCTCTTTAGCCGGTGAAAATACCCAGTGAGATATGATCAAGTCATGAGCTTAGTTATCAATTTCTACCAGATCCTTTACTGTTTTCTGTAGCGTGAAACAACTGGAGTAATTTTGATGTACCTTCGCGGGAAATGCTGTCGCACCGGCGTTACCTTTGCGTTTTTCAGTCAAGCGAGGGCTAAACGCGAGATGAGCGCAAAGGAGTATGCTTTTCAGGCTCTGATCATGCGTGATCCGCGCTTCTCTCTCAACTCGCGCTTCCCTCCACTTGCCTGAAAGACACACAATAAATCAAAGCCTGTTCTACTTGCTAAGGCGGGAGGCTTTGTATCACAGGTACCGTGTCAATCGTTTGTTGCCACTTATTTACACTCTTGTTAAAGGAAAACAATATGTCAGCTCTGTCTAATTCAAAACACAACATGATTTGTCCATTCAAAGCTGAAATCCGGACCTTCAGCTGGCTACCAGACCAACGTGTCCCTCACATGCTAATTAAAGTGAGAATTAAGTATTTTTAGCATCTTGTAAATGAACCAATCGGTGTCAAAAGTTGAATTTCAGTTTCTTCGAGTATAGTGCTTGTTCCCAATGAGCTACTCCTCTTCCCCCCCCCCCCCCCCCCCCTCCACGCTTGAGAATTTACGTTATCGAATAGTAAAATTCAAGCGAAAAATGTCAGGAAAAATGTATTCTCTTGTAGTTAATTGAGTCAATCGTGTTATCTCTGTTTCCGTAACTGTGCATTGACAACGTGTTTGCATTCCAGTATAACCACAGGAAAATGAAAACTTTCTTTAACGAAACAACATGCGTATCTATTGAACTATTTTCGGTTTTCTACAGTGATTATAAGTCCTGTTAAAACGTCTTTGTATAGCATTTATTATCACACAGAACGAACTATATCGAATGTATTGTGACTATTGTTTGCCACAAGCATCGGTAAACAAATGTTTAAAAAGACGACAACAACTTCAGTTTAATTACATGCGCGCATGTGAATCGCCCTAAAAACATTGGCGACAACGTGAACCTGCGATAGACGCGTCGTGGCAGACCAGACAATCCTAGAGGACGAGAGCAGCACAACACAAAGCGAAATAGCTCTTTGATTGTCAAGTAGTTTTTAACTGACAAATGTCTCGGGCATCGAAAGCGGTAAGTATCAGAAACTTCACTGCAAAAGCTCGTTTTTTAAAGTAGAATCCGTGGCGTAATTACAGAAGTTCTCTCAGCTTTAGAAAGTTTATTGGACATTAGCGACAAGGATTTCATTAGTGAACGGTGTTCACCGATCATGAGGAAGTTAATGTATAATAACTTCAGAAAAGGACTTCAGTGAAGCAAAATAATCATTTGTTCGTCGATGTTCCAGTCGGCGAAGATTTCAACTCTTTGACTGTTCACTGAATGCCAATCAATCAAGTTAATTGCTTAATTTAAGTGAATATATAAACTAAGTAAACTTTTATTACTTGTACATTTAATTTAGGCTTCATAACAATAGAGCTTCTGGAACTAATTAAGATAAAAGCATTTTTGACAAATGTTTCCGTGAAATTCGTCTCGCAGCTTATTACTGTGATTTTGCTAGAGACCCGCATTCTCTCGCTTCTTTAGCATTCTTGATAGCCGCACTACAAGATATTTAGAGAAAGACTTTCACTGTTGGGATATTAAAAGTGTTAACACTTTATAGATGTATGTGAGAAGGGTACCTTTTGGGTAAAAAACAATAACGACAGTAACGACAACAAAAGAACAGGGCTATGTTGAGAACGCACCTCTACTTAATTCCCCTTGACCCCTCCCCTAATCTCGTACCCAGATCCTACCTTGTAACTGTGGAAGGTCAGGGTAGGAGACTACCCCTCCCCCCTCCTCCCCTCCTCCCCCTGTCGCTCTGACTTAGGGCTAACGCTCGAAACGTCAGCTTTTTAACTCTTAAGGGTGGCCAATTTACGTTATCAACCCAGCTGAGAATACTAAATTACCCTGTTAAACTCTCCCACCGACGCAGCATTACAGTTTCCTTAGAAACTTACCAAATCCTCCCTCACCTCGAGTTCCGCACAGTAGCGGGGTTCTTATCACCCATTTCCCGATATTTGTCGTTCGCAGGTTTTGGAAGCATTAGGTTTTCAAACGAATTCGTACGGTATGTATCAAACTTAATTTAATTACTGAGGCACTGGTATCCTTAGATCTGAGACTCTTGCAAAGTGGATCGCCACATTCGATCGCATACCGCAGGTTTCCTTCCGGCGATCCTGAGAAGAGTATTTCACTATATTTAGAAGGTTCTATCTTCATATAAGTTTAAATTCTTTTGAATGATTTGCGAGAAAGTGGAGAGAAGATTAAATGGAGAATTTTTCTTTGAAACCTTAGGAGTTCAGAGGTTAAGAACGATTGTTTGATCAGTGGTTTTTTTTCTTTTAGTCTCGACAGGGCGGGCGGATCTTCAAGAAAGAAGAAACAGTGAACAATTAACGGTATGATAGCTTACAAGATAGACTATTTTTCACCGAATTCCTCTTCGTTTAAATATTGCGTTAGGGCAGTCGATCAATTTTTTCTTTTTTCTTTTTGAGAGCTTTTTGGTGGCTCTATGTTCCTTTAGTTCATGTGTAGGTGGAGCCGCTCAATTTATCACGCGCAGATCAACCAAAAGCTTAACTTGGACGGTTAGAATCGGCGAATTCCTACAACCGCGGAGTTTCTGAATTCTTCCACCATTCGGCTCTCCATCTTTTATCGTTGCTTCAACCAGTTTTCATATCGCACTACTTTTTTCAGGTTTCATATTTAGAAAGAAAATGGAACCAGTCAGCAAGCGAAGGGAACCTCCCCGGAATTGTTGCATTATTGGAACAAGATCCAAACCTTGTAACAACACAGGTGCCTAATTAAATGATTTTTGGAACTGGCGCCGAGATACAATGAAAAGAAAACTTTCTTCTTAGTTTCGTACTCGTAGCAATATGGCAATGAAGATTTAAAGAATAGCCACGCTATATACAGGGTCTTACCTTGGGGGGGGGGGGGGG